TGGGGCACAGGGACCCGTAGGGTCGTGCTAGGCACAACATGACTCCTTAAGCCACCTTGAGGACCAAAGGAACTAGGCTGAACATCTATACTATACAATACGGTTAGTGGGCTTTTAAGTAACAAGGGAGGAGAAGTATAAACTTTCATTTCATAATGGTTCCTTTAAGAAAAAGTCTTAAAGTATGGTACTCCAAAGCCCAGGTTAGTATCTTATAGTTAAAGTAACCCTAAACCCCAAACTCTGGAGCGCTTGGCAAAGCAACGGATGTCCCCTCGGATCTGAGACGCCTCGGCAGTCATCCAGCGCGGAGGATGCCGCGCCCATCGCAAGGAGTGATCTTGCCCTGGTATGGGTTGGGGGTATAAGGGTTTAAGTTTAGGGTTGGGGGTTGGGAGTTTAGGGTTGGGGGTTTAGGGTTTTGGGTTTAATCAGGGTTGGGGGGTTGGGGGGTCAGGGTTCAGGGCTGAATAGTTCTATATCGGAGCCCAGTTTGCAAGTTTCTGGGCTATGGGCACTGTCTTTCTACTCCCTTACCCTATCCCTCCAAGGACCTCATAGTTAGGGCCCTAGACCCCTTAAGGACCCCATAATAAGGTCCCTAGAGGCATAGGGTTAGAACACTAAAGGATTTCGCTTAGTTACGGGACACGTTCTACCAGCGAAGGGCGAACTTCTATGACGCATCTGTGCTGTGCACCCTGGCTGCAATCTGGCTGCAATCCGGAAAGCCTTGTACGTACAACATATTTCTTTAAGGGATCTATAAAAAATCATAAGGGTCGAGGGTTCAGAGTTTAAGGCTCGATGTACCTATTTCGTATATACCGAATTCAGCTTTAAAGTATACCTATATAGAAACCCCCTTAAGCCCTAAGTATACGGTATATGGACACATGTGCCTCATGGTTTGGGGTTTAAGCATCTACCTGGTTCGTATATACTTAGGACTTAACGTATACGTATATGGAAACCCTATAAGCCGTAAGTTTATGCTATATGGGTGCATATGTGAGTTTCCGACAGTAGGGGACCCTAATATAGCACCCTAAATAATAGGATCCTTATTATAAGGACACCAAAATAAGGTAGCCCTAACTTTCGGAAACTCTAAACCTTATATTATTATATTGTAATAAGGTAGCCCTTTCAAGGAACCTTTATGGTACCCTTATAGTACCCCTAATTCTCGGAAACTCCCTCTTTGCCCCAGGGTTTGGGGCTTAGGCATCGAGGTCCGAGCAGGATCCCTGCTAGGCAGAGTTGACCAGTCCTTTAAGGGATCTTTGAGGGTTCCTCTAAGGGATCTTTCAGGGTTCCTTTAAGGGATCTTTAAGGTCCCGTTGGGGACTTAGTAAGTAGGTAATAAGTAGACTTATAAGTACCCGAAAAGGCATCCGAATTGGGGCTATGGTACTTATGAGTCTCCAAAATAGCTAGTTATTAAGTCCCCCGACCCTCCAAGCAGTGTCCCGTTCACCATGCGTTCAGCGCGGTATTTTGGAGTTTAGGGGTTGTTGGCGCAGAGCAAAAGAACCTAGCCCAAGTGCAAGATGAAGCGCAAGCTGTTGGAGCCATCAAGGTGCTTGGCAACAGCTGCTTCGCTATGTAGGAACCTGATTGAGAAACCTTGCCCCTGTGACCCCCAAACTATTGACATTCAGGTGGAGAACCCAAACAAAGACCCAGGATGACCCAGGATGTCTTAATCAGGTTCATACATCTTTATATGTGGAAGAGGCTTCGGGTTCGGGTGTCAAGGAGTCAAAGCACATGTTGGCTCAGCGTAAGGGCAGGTGCAACCAGGCCGAGTCGGGTGAATCGTAGCGGAAGGTCCTGGGTGCCTTTACACGTTAAGTCCTTAGTATGATCCTTGAAGTGCATGTACTTCTTGCTTGTGGTTTTAAATAGTAATTAATTACCTGAAACAGATCCAACATCCGACAAAGAGGATCTTAGAACAACCGATTGCCATGATCGAGATATGAAAGGGTGGCTAAACTCTAAACCCTAATCTGCTCGTCGGAGCCCCCGGCCTTGCGCGACGCCTGCTCTAAGCCGGAATACTCTGCTAGGATTTCCTCAGCTTGGCTAGGAGTAGCTGATAATTAGGCACTGTATCGAAGATGCTTGCAGAACATTCGACCCGAAGTGCACAAAAGCAGAGTGGTTCAGGGCTTTGAAGTGTAGGCGCATAGGTGCTCTCATTGTCAGGAAAACTGCTGTCACTATCTTGACCACCCGCATGGTCTTGGATTCTTCTGCCAGAGGCCTGCTGCTGAAATGGCTGCAGAGTGGAAAGCTTAGCTTTTGAAGCACGACATAGTGCTTTTGGACTTGTATTATACCGTGCTGTAGTATATAGTATTTTTTTGTCGTAGTAACTACTTTAATATGTAGGTTTATGTGTGTGTATATATATATATATATATATATATGTACGTATAATATATGTGTGTGTATGTATGTACATACACAAGTATGAACCTGTTTATGACTTACAGAAACACACACACATGTGTATATATATACACACATGTACATGCATACATATATACATATATGGACAGATTACAGCATGTTATACAATATGCTACATTATATGTAGTTCCATCTCATTGTGTTGAGACTTTGGGACGCGGGACTGCTGTGCAGCAAGTCTGGGGCATGTCAGTTCTTGCGAAAGACTATTGAGCCTCTGGTTCAAGATTGGGTCGTATTATTAGGGGGACCCCTTAAAGGGTACCCCTTCTGAACCCTACTTCTGGCTCTCTTAAAAGGGGCCTTATTGAGAGGGTGTATATCCCCAAGGGTCCCCTAATCCTAACTCCCAAAGATGTGATCGAAGGGCTCCAAGGTGCCCTTGGACTCAGGCTTATCCAATATTTCCTTGGCTGACTTCTAAAACCCTCCTAAAAGTTAAACTTTTAGCCTCCTTATGATGGTTCATATAGAAACCCAAAAAGTTGAAGTCCTAAGAGCCATCCAGAAGAACGCAGAGTTTCACTGACAACAGGTTTGGTGAGCCATATCTGCCTTATGAGGCAGTTGGGGGGTGATGCCAACATCACGGTGTTCTCACAGGTCCTGTCTTGGGGATCTGTCCCTTGGCGACCAACAAACATGTGCGACGGGTCCATGTTCCCATATGGTTTACACCTTGACCCTAGGAACCCCTTTGAGGCCTTATATACACGAGGACCCTTAACTAAACCCGATACTGACCCCTCTGAGACCCTACTAAACCCCATAAAGCCCTTACGGAAACCCTGTAGTATACATGACCTGTGGGGTGCACAAGGGAGATCGTGGACGCTTTCGACAGCCGGAACAGGATTTGTTGGACATCATGTGCTTCAGAGTCAGTCGCGTAGTCATTCGGGGCTTCATGGTAGGATTCACTTGGAGCACAATGTCAAGCAGCCCGCATCTTTTACGATCTCGAACTTATGTAGCTTTTGATTAGACGGTTGTAGCAGAGCCCGAGGACGGGGTCTGCCTTGGGGGCCTGACAGAAAGCCTGATCTAGCCAGAGCAATCCAGCGAGTACGTCAAGACCGAACTTCCGCAAACCCAAGACCCTTGGCATCCCTCATCGTTCAACGGAGTTGTCATTCCCTAGGTTGGCCCCTCGAAGCCTCTGAAAAATATTCGTAAACAAGATCCTCTTAACCCCCAAAAAAGGGAAAGTATAAAATGTCCCAAAACCCTACCTAATTCCTTGTTCACCAAATTCTCGACATGTTGGTGCACCCGATCGCCTCGAGCGAGAGGTTCCCTCATGCCCGTTTCCGAAGATTAGTCCTTATTGTAAGGATCCTACCATTTGGGGTACTGTATTAGGATCCTCTATTTTCGGAAACCCCCTTCTGGAAATGTCTGTTTCGGTGTCTGGCTCGTATCAGCCACGCCTCTCCCTTTCCGCGGTGATACCAGTTGACTATTGAAGCCAAGGGGATACATCTACTTGCTCGTAAGCATAGCCGTTCAGTTCCAGCCATGCTACTTCCGCCTTCTGTGAGTTTCCCAAACCCTCAGATGCTCGCATGACCTCCCGGTCCTCCTCAGAAAGCCACTCCCAAAAGAGCCGCTGCTTCTCCCTGGAATACTGCGAAGACTTGTCGGCAGTCTGCTCTTTGGAAAGGCCTTCAAGGCCATTATCCACAGCAGATTGAAACTCAGGCGACTGCAAAAACTCTCCACCTTCCTTCAGCTTGGCCTCAATGGCTTCCCTCCGCAGATGCTCCGTTCCAGCCGTGGCAAAATCATGCACTTTGCCCTTGCCACTCATGCCCCTGAAGAAAAACACTTGGAGCTTAGCGCCTTCCCGAACGGCCTGTTCGATGTTAGCGATCCATTTGGACCACCAGCGGCATCCCTAAAACTTCTTCTCCCCGTATAGCGGTACGCACCAACATTCCCCCTGCAGGCCATGGCAAGCGGGGATCGGATCGTGGCTTCCGAAGTGCTCTGAGCCCTCGGGCAGGAAGACAACTGCAGCACTCACAGCACCATTTCGACTTGCGGTGACCATAGCGTCCCAGGCAGACTCGTACTTTCCAGGCCATGAGCACACGCACTCCAAACCCTGGCCTGGCAGGACACAGCCCTGGAAGACAAGCAACTGCTCGGTAACAAGTCGCTGGTTTTGTTGCTCCGCATACTCGAAATCTTCATCGCGAGTGCCAAAGTACCATAAACAGCATGACAGAATAGGCGCAGCCAAGAGTAGCACTGTAGCCGGCAGTGTGAAAGGAAACAGCATGCCAATCAGCATGCTCTTCCAGAAGCCACCGATACTCAAACGAACAAATGACGATACCGTCCCAATGAAACCCAGAAGGATGCAACAATGTGTACTGTGATTTACGCACCGCTTCCAGTAGCGCCCACCCCTCGAACATGCCCACATGTGGGCGCCCATGATGCCCAACCAAAGCAACAAGAAACTGCCGTTTAAAGATGCAGCCAAAATTACTGCGAGGGCCTCATCATGGGCCTCATCCACCTGAAGTTCCAGATCCAGCCCAAGAAGTGTGGCAAGCTCTTCGGGGAATTCTGCAAAATCCTGAACATCCCAATGCGGATTCTGAAGCCACCAAAATGAAGCAGAACACACGAACAAGTGGCACCTTGGTCCCAGTTGGGGAGGAAACAAAAACCGCTTTCAGGAGCTTTCGTTTACGTGGCATCAAAGGAGTCCCAAACCACCAAAGTCGCAACGAAAGTAAGGTCGCAAGATTGCCCAAGTGGCCTCCGCCTTCATCGTCTGTTGTCGCTTCTGTCGCAGGTGCTTCTCTCGCTGGATCTCATCCTGCCTTATATAGTTGCCGAGTTCTGAGCGGGTACCATCAATTTTCAACTTAAAGGTCCTTTGCGAGTTCCTTTAGGGGTTAAATGCGGGCACGGTGGTGGTTTAGGGTTCACCATATAAGGGTCTACGGGTCCTTGTACCCATACCTAGACGTTCATACCCTACTCCTTTTTTAGGGTACCTAGTCTTGTGGTTAGGATCTCCTATATAGCAAAGTAGGTACCCCTAAAAAGGGGCAGGGTATGAGCCTATAGGTACAGCATAGACTTTCGCTCTACATTCCTGAACCCCTTTAGAAGCAAGATCTATGCTGAACTGTTTGACCCTTCCAAGGGGTTTCGGTTTCTCGGGTGCTACGGCAAGAAGAACTGTAATAAAAGTTACGACTCGAACCTCTGAGTTGCTCCTTCTTCAGGAGCTCGGCGGCTGCCACGCCGAAGGACCCAAAGGAGCCGGAGGCACTCAGGGACAAGTCGGCCCCAGACCGCAGATGGCAGTGTGCTGAAACCTCCGGATTGTCTCGCAGAGCGACAGTCAACTTCCTGTCTGAGGTGGAGGAGATCTCGAACGCGTGATTTCTCCCAGGATAAATCACCCTCTTCTCAGTGCCCAGCACCACTTCGACAGCCGTTGCCAGGTCATTGTTAAAAACAACGCCGGAACAAGCCTTCGTCACTCTGCGCTCTTGTGACTGTGTGCCATCCGTCACAGGTGCGTAAGCACCCGACGCAAGGCCAGGATTGCTGATAGACATGTCCGATATGGAGTCCTTTGTAACACAATTGTCAAGGTAAAGAGGCATCGTAGCTTCGAGCTCATTGGCTGCATGCATCCCCATCTCCATATCATCACAACCTTGGCTGACTTCTGAACCCCTCCTAAAGTTAAACTTTTGGCCTCCTTATTATAGTTCATATAGGCCTAAGAGCGAACCAGAAGAACGCCAAGCAACAATCATCATCCTCACCATCTGGCAATGGCTGGTCGGATACCTTTGACTCTGGAATTAACCTGGGCTTCGCGGTGCAGCACTCGGAACAAGTCTCGGGCTCGGGGCTGCGCCTGCATGCTTCCATGGCTCTGGAGTAAGCCGTGCTACTTGGAGGATCATAGGACTTAGTAAGTAGGGTTATAAGTACCCTAATTGGGGCTACGAGTATAAATAATTATAAGTATAATCACCCTAATTATAACCCCAGTTACTAAGTCCCATGACCCTTTAAGTAGGTGTTGATTGCAAACCTGCTTGGCACCTTTGCAACTCAAAGGGTCCTCGGTACTGTTATGCGGGATACTTCCCGAAGTCAGAATGATAGTTCCGAATATAGAAACCCTGCATTCTACTGTGCAGGTACTTCGGGCAACGTGGAGGCCGCAATACCTGCATAAATCCGCATTACCCATAGGCTCCAAAGTAGTCCCGTTTTGGGATGACCGTTTAGAATTCTGAATATAAACCTCCAGAAGGAACTACTATGGAGCCTCTAGGTAGTGACCAGCTTCTGGAAACACTCAGTTCTCCGCTCTGATAGGTCGCACAAGCATGCTCACATACTGTGGGAGACTACTGTAGGGTTTAGGGTTTGGGGTTTACGGGTTTAGGGGTTTAGAGTTTAGGGGTTTAGGGGTTGGAGGTTTAGGGTTGGGTTTAGATTTGTATTACTAGCATGATCAAACCAAGGTCTTGGGGGGGCATAGGTCTTACCTAGAGTCTCCATTGTAGGTCCTTTTTGTAGTTAACCAGTTGTAGGGTTAGGATCCTATAGTAGAGGTTTTGGTTAACCAAAAACGAACTACAATTGAGACTATAGGTAGTTCTTTGGAGGAAATTCACTCGAGCCCGACAGCCTTCCGAAACGGGGTCGACTCCCTGAGCTCTGTGAACGCGCTGGGAATTAGGGGTTTCGGGGTGCAGGGGTTTAGGGGTTTAGGGCTTGCGGGATTTTGGGGGTTTAATTTCGGGTTTAGGATTTAGGGCAGTTGCTTCAAACAAAGTCGCAGGAACTCATGAGCATCCTTCGGCAAGAAAGCTGAAATCCGAACGCAAGCTAGAGCGAGGGTGTTGTTCAAACAAGTGCCATGGTTCAAGGCTAGGACCCATGCAATACCTTAACCTACCAAACCCTACTTTTTTGTAGGTTCCTATTGTAACCCTAATATGGAGTTTAAAGGGACCCCCTAAAAAATGCAGGGTTTGAGGTAGGTTAAGGTAGTTCTAGGGTTCAGGGTTTGAGCTACTTTCGAGTTGCTAGCTAAAGGTTTTGGCCTGGGTCTTCTCCGGTATGCTGATGTAGGGGCCTTGAAAATTAGAATAGGGTTTTGGGGCATAATATACTATAACTATAATAAGGAACCCTCAAAATAGTATAGTATAGTGAAAACGTCGAAAAAGGCTTGAAAGGCTGCTCAGCTTGGTTCGCGTGATCTTCTCAGTATCGTTCCAAGTTTATCGGAGGGCCATGAACCGCGGAGGCTTACGACTCTTTTCGCCTAGCACACAAAGTTCTGAGTTGCTGAACGGCTTCTGTCTACCGATTATGGCAAACTGAAGCTGGCTTCTGCTGATCATGGCACCCCAAGGTGCTGGCCATGCCGATCATGACATGAGCTTCGAACAGCATCAGCATCTCATGTACACAAGGTTTCCATGCTTCAGCGTGAGGGCTTTCACACTCCTCCTTGACTTCGATTGTTCAATTGAAGTCACAAAGCATAGAATCGTATGAACCATTGGTTCTGGTGCTGCTAAACTGCTCCACAGTTCGCTGCATGCAAACAGCTATCTAAAGCGACAGCCGTCCAAAAGAGACAAACTCATTGTAGCTGTTCACCTCGTATTCTCAAAACGGAGAGTTCGTCTGGCAGATCCGTCCTGAGCTCGTTTCTGGTAAATCGGATGTTGCCTGCTGCAGAAACTGCACAGGCGATGCTGAGTGATCTGGTGCGACGCCAACCTAAAGCCCTGGCAGTTTGGATTCGCATGCACAGTATCTCCGTACTCTGAGCGAAAGAACGGACCATCAAAGTGCACATACCAGTCGTCGTCTTGAATCGTCGATCTCACCTGGCGAGGTGGCGTTGCCACCACAGGCGCTGAAACTCGCATCCTGTCCTCAGTCTGTGTAGCGATTGATCGCTGTCGCACTTCCAGGGAGGAAGGAAACCACGCAGTACTTGACATAGCACCCAATGTAGGCTGCCTCATTGCCGCCTTAGGTTCAGGGCTCAGGGCCTTGTCGACTTCGGCCTCTGCTGCAGCCCTCGCAAGGTCCCTGAGCTTCTTAGCCTTCCGTCCACGCACTGGACGACAGAAGCAAAGCCACAACTGCTTGCCAACCGCCTTCACAATCTCCCATGCCAAAATAGCAGCTGCACATGCCAAAATCGTCACGAACACCAACTCATCGACGCCAGCAATTCTCACAGAATCCTTAGCGTCCTCGGTATCCGTAGCCGTTGCTCTCGGCAACGATTCCAGCAGTCGAAATAAGCACATGATCGCAGTCATACGAGCAACCAGGAAAGCCTCTGCTTCTTGTGGGAGTCGCTCGAACCTCCACAGCTTCAGCAAAGCATACAACCTGGCCTTCGAATGAACCTTAGTCGACAGGTCTGCTCGTTGCTTCACTCCATCCACATGTTCCACATGGAGCTTCCTTTCTTGGACCCTCTGGATCAAGTAGGCTGAACGGACTTTTAGGTGCCTTGTGCGCCAACTTCCCGGTCCTCCAAGAATCATTGCCGTAGCAGCAGAATTGTCGACACACAGCGTTCGAGGCACTTCAAACTGCCCTAGCTCATCCAAAAGCACACCCACATTTTCCGGAAGAACAGCTGCTTCCGTGGCTTGGTAGAGCTCCGACTCCATGATCGAAAGCATAACAAATGTTTGTTTTCCGCAGCGCCAGCTAACGGGCGAATCTTCCACTGTAATGAGGGATGCACCGAACGACTTATCGCCAAACGGTGCATAGCTAGCGTCAGAAAAACCCACTAGTTTAAGACCGCTAAACCCGTTGGGCTTGCTTGCTGCTTCTGAGTTCTGTTGGGTGCTGCTGCTGGCTGCTGGAGCTTGCTTCATTGGCTGCCCAAGAACCATTCTCATGTCCGCCGTCTTATGCAAGTAGGCCAAGACCCTGTAGGCGATCTTTGTCACTCGCCTTGAATGTCTTGCAACCCAGCTGGCCATGTAGCTTACCGTGAAGTGAACGTCTGGACGGCATCGCATTGCCAGCCATAGCTGCTCTCCAACCAACCGCTGAGCCAACCGTAGGTCTGCTTCACTGAACTCCTCGGCTTCCGTGTCCACATTGTCCGTGATCCACTCCTTCGGGCAGGGAAGAAGAGTCTGAGGGGATCCCAACATGTCGTGCCCTCGAATCAAATCCATGATGTAGCCATTCTGGGTCACCTCATACTCCCCCGTCTCCCTCTGAAAAATCTCCATTCCAAGGTACCGAACTCCAGGAGAAACAGAAGCCCATTGTAATTCAGAGCACGGCCACTGATCGTGAACCCACTTGTGGAGCATCTTCACAATCCCTTCAGGGCCCATGTAGAACAGGTCGTCCACATAGGTGATGATAAGAGCAAGTAGAGAACCATGCGCTTGCAAATCTCCACCTTGATCTACTGCGTACCACAACTCAGAGTCCGTCTTAGACTGCTGTAGCGTAATGAAACCATCACCGTACGGGATCTTCAAAGTTCTCAGTCGTTCGTTGCGGTAGTTGGCCCATATCGATGGTGACTCTCGAAGTCCATAGAGTGGACGGCATACAAGCCAAGCCTCTCCATCTTCTGCGTACTCCAGTTCTTGCAAAAGACGAGGTGGCACCACAGCATACATTGGAAGCCCTTCTGGCCATTCCGCTTGAATGAACGCGGAAACGATATCTGTCGTCGCGCCAAGCCAGCCCAAACTTGTAGTAGCCGCCAACAAGGTTCGAAGGCTCTCTGCTCCAACTCCCCCGGCATAGAGGGAACCTTGGGACTCGCTGGGATCCACAAAGTTCCCCCATAGAACAAGTCTGTATTTTCTTTTGAATCCTTGCCCCTTTTCAGCTGGCGGCTTGATTGTGTGGACGCCCTTGCTGGGGACGAGTCGTAGTCGCCATTCTGCTTCCATCCTTCGCGCTTGTGACATCTTAATCCTTTTGAGGGTCCCAGTGTTGAAGAGGTTGGAGATTTCCTTTTGGATGGCTGCCCTCCACTTTTCAGCAACTGGTTTCACTTGACACAGCGGTACCGTGTGAGTCACTTGAAGATCTTCTTGAAGGTCTTCCAACAACTTCTCATAGTCTTGGTCCATTGGCTCAGGCGAAATTGCCCGAAGGTGGTAACTCTCATCACGTCGTTGCGTCTCCTTCTCGATCTTCACCGCCAAATTGTCAAGGACTTGCATGATCTCCCCATGCGCTTGCCGAGCAGCTTCCAAGCATCCCTCCTGGGTAGACCTGAGGTCATCTAATCGTGCTTCCTCCTCCTCAAGTAGATCTTGAAGCAGTGCTGAACGGTCCAAGCATCTGTTGTTGGTACTCATTGGCTCGAAGTAAAGCACCATCCAACACATCTTCCTCGCTCCCTTCAGGATCAAGTTGTGAACACGACACCAAAGCTTCATCGGCCTCAACTACCAACTGCTGCTTGCACCATGCCACGTTCACATTCGACGAAGTATGAAGGCCAGGATCTCGTTCCGGAACATTGAACCCAAGCTCTCGTAGCCTCTGCTTGTCCTCCATGTTCAACTTGGTGGTCCTCGGGGTGTACGTCATCATCACGACGCGGTCACCCTCAAAGTCCTGAGTCTCATGCCATTTCCTCGGATTGAAGAACACCGGGGATCCGAGCTCCAGATCTTGAACACCACCTTGAACAACTCTTCCAGGAAGGACTTCTCGACTCTCAGCTCCACGACCTTCGATCCATATACCTCCACGTTGGAAATCTGTCAAAGCAATGACGGCATTCTCAGAACCCGCTTCATTGTGAGAATCTCGATGAGCTCTGAGTCGGGCCCCACGCGTGATAGCAACAACCGCAAACTTGTCACTACCCGTCAACTCCTTCGCCGCCTTCACCAAGAAAGCCGTAGTCGATGGAAGCCTCGTAGCAGTCGTTCTCAAACCTGAAACACCACCATGCGTGAACATTCCGGTAGTCCATGACGTTGAACTCGTAGTTGATTTTCTTGTGACTGCCTTCGACCCTTGAAGCCGAGTGCGCTCCAACATCTCATAGATCCGAAGAACAGCCTCTTCATCATACTGTTCATCAACATCATAGTTCACTGCCATCTGCTCAATCTCTTGTTCCAACAAGGTCAACGGACGCATAGCCATCAATCGCGACTTTTCTCTGATACGACGACCTGGTGCTCTGCCCACATCGTGTACGCCAGATCCTTCTCGCTCCAACAGTTCGGGTACTACAACTTCCCCTTCAGAACCCAGTGGTGGACCTCCAAACTTGGAATCTCTCGTTGGTAGTGGTATATCTCCCTCCTTCGGTACTACGACTTCCCCTTCAGAGCCCAGTGGTGGACCTCCAGACTTGGAATCTCTTGTTGGTAGTGGCAAATCTCCATCATCTCCCCGAGCGATCGTAGACTTGGTTTTCACCCGCGAAAGTGGAGCTGGGAGGATCGCTTCGGCACCTTCAGGCTTGACATGCTTGTCAACATCCACAACATTGGTCTTCATGTGCATGGTTGTAAGGTATACCTTCCATTGCAATCCCTCACCACAAACCCACCCTTGAGCTCAGTCTCCGGTCCAACAAACTGCCCATTATCCCACTTGCTGTTCAAACCGAACTTGCCCCCGACGCCAAAGACCTTAGCCTTGATAGTCACAGGAGCCCCAAACGGCACAGTTTGTGTTCCACGTCCCAGCGCAGCTTCTCTCTGAGCCCATGCAGCATGTCCCATAGCGAGCGGCCAACACGACCGTGGCAACGAAGAGGTCTGCAGAAGCGTCTTGGCCCTTTGCTTCAAAGCCTTCACAACTTGCTCTGCCTTGCCGTTGCTTTGGGGCACCTGCGCCTCTCCAGTGGTGGGGTACACATCCCGTTCAAGCAACCATTGCCGAATCCCACGGCCTCTAAGCTCACGCGCACGATCACTATGCACTCGTTGAACTGGCAAGCCCTCCGACCTGATCTGGACGTAGAGCAACCTGATCGCTGCTTCAACTTCCGGGGCCTTTCGAGACTTAAGGGGAATCATGTAGTGAAGGTTCTGGTACTCAAGAGTGTCCCCGATCTCCCGGAACAACCTTGCGAAGTCCGAATTGGCCTTGTCCATCTCCTCTCGGTCCTCTCGAGAAACATCGGGCTGCTCTTCATCGCCTTCAACAAGAAAGTCTGGCTCCTCCTCTGCTGGTATTTCTCCAACACCACCTCCATCATCTCCTTCTCCGTCCTCGTCTTCAGGGATCTTATAGTCGCGAAAACCCTGGAGCTTCGGCATTGTGTAGACACCCATCAAAGCGTAGCGGTATCCCTTCGCATCCGCCGTCTCGCCGTGGACTCGAAAAGGTCCACACAGGTCCAATCCCAACGTGTAGCAGTTGGGTGCAATCACTCGACGATGACTCCGGCCTGTGGCGGCCGTCTCTATACATGTCCTGCACCTCTTGTTGTAAGGAAGGTGCCGTTGGCCACATGTCGCCTCCATTTCCGCAGTTCTTCAGGGCTCCAAGGCGAATCCGGAACAGCTCCACTGCACAGGACAAGTGGCTCGGGTCTCTTACGCCAACGCTCAATCCCAGAGGCAATCATCCGCACAAAACACCTTGACCATCTCCTTGACGAACTGCTTGTGGGGTCAACTTGAGGTCCCCAGCCTGGATCATCTCCTCCTGAAAGTGCTAGGTTGGTGGCCACGCAGTAGGCTTCACTTACGCCCTCAGTGGAGACATAGGAAGCTGGGAGCTGATATTCCCTTTGAAAACCTTGCCACACAGTCGTAGTCCACATCCTTGATGCCGGGCTTGCGGTAGTCACCAAGTAAGGACTGACCCGATGATTCACTCGAGCGCCCTCCTTAGCCAACATCCAAATCAGCAGCTGGCGCGAGAACAGTTCCAAGCAGGAATTGCTAGGTGGAGAACCACAAACTCCTTCAATCTGACCCCTGCACGCTGCCCACACCAAAGCCTTATACGCTGCACTGTCACCCTTGAGGTTGAACATCTTGCTGCGGTTCAGATTGAAGTTCACCAAAACCTCAGAGTTGGTTTCCATCATCTTCAAATCTTCTGAAGTTTCGTTGTCGAGTTCAAACAATCGAACCATCCATCTCTTTGTCAGCAAGGACTTCCTCTGGGATCTGCGGATTGGAAGGGCCTTGAGGTACCTTGCTCCCGCTTCATCACTCAGATCAACACCCACTGCAAGCATTGACCTCATCGACTCATCAAGTCCTTGAAGAGGGCACCCGGGAGACTCCAGTGCCTGCAACAGATGAGCCCTGTTCCCTGACTGCACGTAGGCGGCAAACATCTCATCCCAATCCTTCACTTCTGAAAGGTTCAAAGTCCCAAGGAAGGTCTCCGCCGTGGCCTCTCTCAGTTCCTGCAACTTCTTCTGCTCGAGCTGGTGGATCAAATCCAATGCCTGGGTCTCGCCAAGCAACGGGCAGTTGCCCTTGACCACCGTCTTCAAAGTCCCAAACTGCGGGTGAACGATTCTTAAGCCATTCTTCTTCGTCCAAGACAACTCGCACCCCAACGTCTGGACCAAAGCTCCCATCGGCAGGATCGTTGACAGGTCCTGAGCATTCTCAGCGTCCGTGGTTGGCAACAGCGTTCCAGCCTTGTTTTGTTTGAGGGTCACCGACTGGCCTCCTGCAAGTTCTACACGTACAGGTACCCCATCAACTTCATGAAGAGCTCGTTCTCGAAAGGGGTGTGAGGCACCGCTGTCAAGTAGCGCCATATGCTCCTCCTCAGCAAAGCCCAAGCCAGCCATTTGAGCTGCAAGCTCCTTCAAGCTCCTGTCCGAAGATACCTGCAAAGCCTGCAGTCGGGTCAGTCTGTTGAGCATCGCATTGGCTTGTTGTAGAAGAGCACCAATCTCCTGAGTTCTTTCATCACTGCCCGGATGCTCCAACGTAGCCGCCGTAGACACATCAGATGAAGTCACCCGTATAGCAGGAGTACTAGGAGTAGAGACCTCCGTCGGCGCTGCCGTCAAAGTTCCCGGGGTCGCGCTCGTCGTGGGCGTGGCAGCAGCTCCCATAACAGCCTGAATCGACTCCATGATGGCTTGTTGTTGTTGCGCTGTCACCTGATTCAAGGTTGGGTTGGTAGTAAAGGAGGTCGTAGATGTAGTAGTTGGCCTTCCCCTAGTTGGAGACACGGGTTTGCCAGACTTCACGGGGCATTCCTTCTGAACATGCTTGGTGGAGCCGCAAAACCAACAGCGGCTTTTCTTGGCCTCTTTGCTGGGGAAGGTGTGGTCGAACTTGCACGCCTGCCCCTTCGTACATCCATTGTCTGACGCAAAGAAGCGACACGGCACCTTTCCAGTTGCCGGTGAAGCATCCCCAACTCTCCGTGATGGAGAGCCCGACTCTCCAGTTCCAGCACCATTGGTTGTAGCGTTCATGCCCTTCAACTTCGTCCCATCTGGATTCACATTGGTACCCTGGGAGCCCTGCGATCTTGCCGGAGCCGCCTGTTGAAGCTCAGCAAGCACGTGGTTGTAGTACTTCAGAACATTCTCCAACGTCGGCCTGTACTGCAACTGAAGCTGGGACTTGGAGAGGGAGAGTCTGAATTTGATCTCCGAGTGGGCCTCAAGCGACTTAGCTGCCATTGTCTCTGCAGCTCGTAGTAACACCGAAGGGTCAGGGATAGCCACGTGCATCTCATCTGCTCGTTGAAGGTGTCTTCGCCACCTCCTCAGCGCAGCGACAGTCTCAGAAACATTTCCTGTTCCACTGCTTCCTTCGAGGTGCCTCAGAATAGAGGCTCGTTCCGCGCTGCTTCCAGGAGCATAAAGAACATGTAGTCTGAAAAGAAGGCCGCTGACATTCGAGATGCGGTGGGTAACCGCGTCATCCTTGGCTTGCCGCTGCAGCGTTGCAAGAAGCAACGTGAGAACACGGCGCTCCAGGCGAGACCACCGTTCATCCTGAAGCTCGGGAGGTCTCGTTGGCTCCAGGGTCAAGCGGGCCAAGGGATCACTCATCTGGTAGACCTCGTAGGTTTCCCTCGCACATTTCAGACACATGGAGAACCAGCTCGCCGCGCGGTCACTCAGTCCTCCCACTGCCTGCTCCGTCTCATACAGCCAGTCCGAGAAGCTAACCGCACTGTCAGCTGTCACTTCTGGCATCGGTGGCAGCTCCACACTGCCCTTCACATCAGAGTCTCGCGACTCCCCTTTGCCCATGTAAACTTGTTGAAGTTGCCTCATGCCCTGAACAAGCAGCTGGAGAGGCTCCTGATCGCTTCCACGTCCCTGAACACTCGCCGTAGGTCCCGAAGTCTCCGAAGCCAAAGGTCTTGTCCCTCCGCCTGATGTTCCTCGACTCCCACCGCCTGTGTGTCCAAGACCTGGCGGCTCCGCCAGTCCTGAGCTCAAACGAGGTTCACCTCGATCCACTCCTGGGGGATTGCCGCCCGGTACTGAAGCATGCAACAAACTAGGTGCAGGATCACCAAGATGCCCGCTAAAACCTCCACCGACACCAAGAGGGTCTCCTCCAAGGCCTCCTTGTGGTTCCTCTGGCCTCCCAGCTGAGGCGCTCTGCATCTCACCTGCACGCGAAGATCTCATTGCTCTGTTTGCCTCAACCAATGCACGTTCCAAATCCACATTCCGTTGCTTAAGCGAAGCCACCTCCTGATCACGGCCCTGCATTGCCATAGCCACTTGCCTCTTAACTTCATCCATAATCATCTCCTGGTTCAAACTACTAGATGAAGCTTCTTCTTCCTGCCGGCGGTGCTGTGGACTTATCAACGAAGGTCGAGCTCGGTGGGCTTCCATAGCCCGTTGAACCTCCGAAGAGAAGAGGGGACCTGTTGAGGATCCAGAGGGTCCCTGACCATTGGCTGCACTGGTAAAACTTCTTCCCGCACTAACCACCGGAGCAACCACACGTCTCTGAAACATCTCCCCAAAGTTCATCCACACACTTCTGGTATTGCCCTCATGAACTTCCTGACTCTGCGCCGAAACAAAGCTCTGTGCCGAAGTCATAGCTCCCGGAGAAAGAAACTGATCACTCCCAGGTCCTGGTTGTTCATCATCCTGGGATAGCACTGCTTCATGTCCTCTGGCCTCAAGCTGTTGTTCAAACTCCTGTAGAGCCACCGGACGACGTGGCGCAGAGAGTCGCAAGGGAGGAAATCGGGGATCCCGTGCTTGCTGATGTTGCTCCATTGGTCCCGAAGTTCTCATAGGGCCACTTCCTGCACTACCTTGACGCCCAAACTGAGGTACGCGCCCCGCCACAGCATGTGGCCGAGCCGTCTGGGAAGGTTCCGTCTGCATAGAAGCTTGGGTACTCATACTCGGCAAAGGCTCTTGGGTAGCTGCAGGTTGTTGCAAAGCTTGCATGGTGACTGGCTGCTGCATAGGCGTTGCTGCTGCAGGTTGTTGTGGCGCTTGGGTTGCTGCAGGTTGCTGTGGAGCTTGTGTGGTGACTGGGTTCTGCAAAGGCGTTGTCGCTGCAGGTTGTTGTGGAGCTTGTGCTGCTGCTGTCTGCCGTTGAGCTTGTGCAGCTTCTAGCGGTTGTGATGCACCCGTAACCCCACCTGCATTTCTGACACCAGCTATAACACCACCTTGCGATCCCACAGAACTTGTCAAAGAACCGTACGCGCCGGATCCGGTTGCAGCTTCTGCATTGATATGCCCAGGCCCGCCAACCCTCGGAGCAGTCCCACTAAGCAACCCTTGATCACCTTGCATCTGTCCCTGAGGCCGTGCATAATCAGGGCCTGCCACCTCTCCATCCAGAGCCGCCGGCTGATCCGTAGATTGGGCGCTCATAACCTGAAAACGTCGAAAAAGGCCTGAAAGGCTGCTCAGCTTGGTTCGCGTGATCTTCTCAGTATCGTTCCAAGTTTATCGGAGGGCCATGAACCGCGGAGGCTTACGACTCTTTTCGCCTAGCACACAAAGTTCTGAGTTGCTGAACGGCTTCTGTCTACCGATTATGGCAAACTGAAGCTGGCTTCTGCTGATCATGGCACCCCAAGGTGCTGGCCATGCCGATCATGACATGAGCTTCGAACAGCATCAGCATCTCATGTACACAAGGTTTCCATGCTTCAGCGTGAGGGCTTTCACATATAGGCAATTATCTAGGCCCCTATAGTAACCAAATAGGTTGGGCTACGAAAGCAGGCTCTGGACCTAAACCGCAAGTGCTAAACCCAAGCACTTCGACTTTCAAACCAGAACCAAACCCAAACACAACCCTAAACCCTACCTATAGTCTCCATCGTAGTTCCTTTTTTTGGCCCAACCCAAAACTATATTATAGGATCCTAACCGTAAAATTGGTTAACCAAAGCAGGAACTACAATGGAGACTATATGTAAACTCTAAACCCTTTACGAACCCTAAACCCCAAACCCCAAAAAACAAACCCTGTCGCAATCTTAGAGGGCCTTCGTGAAGTTGGCAAGAACAGACCCAAACACTGCACCTGACGACACCAGGGTTTGGGGTTTCGGGGTTAAGCCTTTCCGCTTGGGGTTATAGGGCCTTGTGTAGGGGATTATACCCAGACCTTGAATTGTGGATTGGGGTTGGGTTTCTTGAGTATAGTGTAGGGTTCCAACTTCGGAAAAACAAACACCCTACATTGCACTGATGGCCCATAATTTCGGCTGAGACCGCGAGGATTGAAGTTTGAAGCTTTCAAGGATTCGGATCGTCAATGGGGGTAGATCACTTGAAAGCTGTTTGGATACACGTCGAAGACTGTTCATTGGCTCTCCGTGGTTCTTTCCGCAGGGTCCCGAGTAACTACATGGGGGATAGTTGTTCAAACCGTAATAGTAATTCCTATTCTTATAGAAACCCTACCTCCAGCTAACAATACCATATAGTTACTCAGGACCCGGTTGGGAAAGGGTTGGGCTTGTGGCGCTTTTTCCACTGTTCATAAAACGTCTTTTATCGGTGGCCACATACAGCAGCCACCTAGGGTCTTACAGGCAGTTTTTCTGCCAGAGTCCACAGCGACCCAAAAGACCCAAAATCTACCAGTCAGGCAAACGAGGGTTTACGGTTTACAGATTTGCAGGACTGAATTACAGGGCTCGCGGGCGGAAGAAGTGAGGAACTTCCGAAATTTGTCATTGAGAGTCTACTCAGTCTACTCCCTGTCAGCAAGATCTACAAGCCGAACCCGAACCAGCAAAGCCCCGCCCACGTTTAAGCGCGGGTGAAGCCGAAGACCCCAAGATCTACAAGAACCGGCCCATTATGTATTCGACATTTGTGCCCAGAAGCTAGTACAGGAACTCCGAGAAAGCCATCAGATACTTGATGTGTACTCACAAAGTATATACACTGTAAATACCCGTTTTTGAGATACTAAAGCACCACAACTGGGGACACACAAAACCTTAAACCCTGAAAGTGAACCCTATGATCCTCACCAAGGAATTTGTACCTGCGTCGTGCTGGGGATCACATGAACGATCTCTCGGCAAGATAGAATCTAAACAAGACCTGAAGGGCAACAGAGTTGTAGTGAAGCCCACACTTACGGTGAACCCATAATGAAGGCTTTAGGGTTTAGGGTTTTGGTTACACTTCAGCCGTGTCTTTACCCCGTCATTTATGGTTCCTGAAAATCCAGGCACTTGAATTCAGAATGGACGGGGAGTCTCAAGCATGAGAGCTTTCCAACAGTTGATGATATAAATCCTGCATGACCCAGAATAAGGAATATACCATAATTCCCATACTTCAGGCTCCTTAAGGTAATGCAGGATTTATATCATCAACAGAAGGTCTACGGGTTCAGCGGTTAAGGTCCGGGTAATAAAAAGAAGCCTGGCCATCTCGTGCCTGACTTACCATCAACATTTTAGAAACTTAACACGGCTATGCCTGTTCCACTGGGCGTGGGTCCAATGGGATTTGCAGCAGCGTGAGACACATAAAGCAAGAGCGAGTCTGCAGCGGTAGCAATGGACAAATCTACTACGTTTCTTCCAATATGCCTAAACCCAAGCCCTGAGCAAGCCCCAGATCCCTAGATCAACAAGAAGTCTCTCTCTCTCTCTCTCTCTCTCTCTCTCTCTCTCTCTCTCTCTCGCTGAATTCTAGTCTCTTTCATTCACGACCCCTACGGCTCTTTTGGACTCTTTCCATACGGAGGCTTCGGAATTGTAGTACCCTGTATTTTAAGGGTCGCAACGGCAAAGACCCTATGTAGCGTCTGCCGCCACCTAAAGTCTCCACTGTTACAGTTCACAGTTCGGCTGTTGGTTCGCAGATTTTCAGTGGACTTTGGCTAGATACTGTCCTACCCAGAGACTCCAAAACCACTTAATTAAGGAATATACCTTAAATCATATTAGGATCCCTATTATAATTTAAGGTATATTCCTTAATTAAGGGGTTTTGGAGTCTCTCGGTACATCCCTGAAACTCCCTTTGGCGTAAGGATCCATGTGCCTGCAGTAGCTATGCAACACCAAAACCCCATGGGTCCAAGTTCCTGATAATTCCTGATTTCAAAGACCTTGGACCCTCCAAACTCCTGCAAGCAAGCCCAGTTATTAATTAGGATGCCCTTATATGTATATATATATATATATATGTGTGTGTGTGTGTGTATACGTGTGTATACGTGTATATATATATATATATGTGTGTGTGTGTGTAGATCGGGGGGTGACCATATATATATATATATATATATATATATAACACTTGTAGGACCCCCTTACAGAACGATTCTTTCACCCTTAAGAAGCCTCAGCTACAAGGGCTACCGCTGCAGGACGCTCGTGGTGCGCCCAGCCTCTGTGTTTAGAGGTGAGCAGAAGCCGGTACGGGGTGTTGCCCTTGTCCATGGCAACCCGAGAACCCTAAGACCCTAAGGCCCTAAGCCAAAAGCTTATAAAAAACCGAACCCTGATTCTACTCATACCCTGTGGGATTATGATAATCTTCTTGTGCAGAGCAAAACCTGTGATGTGTGCACTGAAACGGCAAGTTAAAGTACAACAGATGATCTTCCTTTGTGGGCGCCAGCGGATCAAGCTTAGCTAGTGGAACAACATCCCGACCGGCTGCTAAACAGTGCGCACTGGCCTTTTTTCCGGCATGACGTGAAAACTAAACCAATCTCCACTTGCAGTATGGCCTGTGATCTAAAGGGCTATTGAAGTGATTAAGGCGCAACCCTGTATATACTCCAATTAAACGGAAATCGAACA